TAAAGGTGCCGTATACGGTGATGCCGTCTCCACAAAGTTATGACGAGTTGTGAGCTGAATGAGTAAGGTCCCTACTGTATTAACTAATCAGCAGTCCCCTGTGCAAATCTACGCCCAGTACTGTATTTGTTGAGGTGATATTTTTTGCACAAAGCCATGACTGATAAAGGTGCCATATACGGTGATACCGCCTCCACAATGTTATGGGGAGTTGTGAGCTGAATGGGTAAGATCCCTACTGTATTAACTACCCTCTGGATATTCAACATAGCCATGGAAAATGGCCCATAGAAATAGATGGTTTACCTATTACAAATGGTGATGTTCCATGGCTATGTTAGATAACCCGATGGTAATCAGTACAAAAGATATGCTACAACTATTGAGTCATACCAGCAGCATGCCAGGAAGATCAGGTGTTGATGATAAAGTTCGATCATTGTCAGCCACATGTTGATCAAGAGCCCCAGAGCTCATACTTTTCCAGTAGGGCGGCGTCCCACCCTTCGCGGCGCGCGCTGTTGAAAATAGAAGCCAGTGCTATGGCACCATGAATTCAGCCGGAACTCCTGATTGAAAAGGATTAGAATTCACCCATAAAGGCATCCGCTGGTGATGTTTTTCCCTGTAAATGGGGGATTGAAGCCCCTGATTTATGGCCAACAAGTGGACTTGGGGGTACTCATGGTTAGATGACCATAGGGAATCGATGATTATGATTAACCGATTGGGTTGGGTGGTTCCCTCGACTCAAGGAAGTTGAAACAACTGAAGTTGGTGGTTTACTTGGAGCAGGCGAAATATCAGGAGCGGGTATGTAGATTGCACTGAAGGATCATGGCTGCTGTGACTGTCCAGACTCACGTTTTCTTCTTCTTGACTGGTTCGATCATCGCAGCAGCCAGTGTGACATGTCTCAAAGAAATCTCCATGTCGGTCAGAATGTGGGAAGAACATGCAAAGGTGCCAGATGAAGGGGAGTTGGCCTCCAAAGACATATCAAAGTGGAGTTTGCTTACTGTTTATGAGGAAACTCGTCTACATTTACCGTAGGTTTTCCACCTTGCTGGCAGAGCATATTACACTTGCAGATTAGTCATCTTGATGGAGAAAGATTTCACACAAGCTAAATCCGTTCAATAGCGGCATCTCGTTGCAGGTTAAACCTTCTTGTTTGCGGGGTAAATCTCCCCTTAGATGATATATATATATATAGATATATATACATATATATATTTATATTTATATTTATATGTGTATATATATATATATGTATATTGTTTTATATGTTTGGATCATTAACGAATGGCAATTGAATTCATAAAGTGCAAGCCAATAAAAAGATGTGGAATTTTCTGCCGGCACGGAGATTTTGTAATTTGTGGCTCCGGGCTACCCATGCCCATCGCTTTTCGGGGCAGCCTGTGCATTTGACGTGGCGCTGGCTGCGAGGAAGTGGATGCTGTTTGAAGACTCCTTTACGCCTCCACTAAAATTGGCAAAGAAACGTCTAGAAAGTATGAACACCACTATTAATTAACTATCCACCTCTAGATTCGCAAAGTGAAGTCCAAAACAATCTGAAGTTATGGTCATTGAAACTCAGCCTTCGCTCATCTCCAGGATCTGAACTCCTGGCGGTGCCCCAAACACAGCAGAGTTGCTCTAAAAACTAGGGCTTCTGGAGATATATCGAACTAGTTCATGGGTGTATAAGCCAAGTTATAACTGGACGGCACCACATTGTTCTGATCTTAGTAAACCGATGAATCGTTGCTTCTTTTTTTGTTTCCCTTCTTTAGGCCTGAATCCCGATGTGTTCAGGCTTAACATCCCATGTATAGCAAAGCCTAAAAAGATAGAAAAGTGACATCTTACTAAATAGTCATGATAGGAGAATTCACTGTCATTCACTTTCTATCTTTTTTGAGGTAAATATATGAGTAACTATACGGTAACGACATTTAAATATGTGGAGGGCGGGCCAGACCGTGAGGCCTCGGAGGTAGTATGAAATACCAGTTCGTATATTTAAATGTAGTTACCGTATGTTTAAACGAATTGGATTCCGTATGTTTAAATGGCCGGGCGGGCCAAGGAAAACCTTCCCGGAGGTAGTCTAAAATACCTGTTCGTATATTTTAAAGTCCGTATATTTAAATGTAGTTACCGTATGTTCATTTATGGTAATCATATATTGATTGGTGGTTTGGAACATGTTTTTTGTTCCATTCAGTTGGGAATAGTAATCCCAACTGACTTTCATATTTTTCAGAGGGGTTGAAACCACCAGGCAGTATATCTTTAAGATGAGCCAATGTCACCACTGCAACTCAGCCGCGGACCCTGCGGAGCCTGCCACGAATCGCCAGCCTGGCAGCCTCTCGCGATGAGTCAGTCATGAAAAGGTGTGGAGGAGTTCCAGCGGTTTGCTACCATGTGTACATAGATATAATCAAAGGAAGTTTAGGGGGAGAAACTTCCGTGTTACGGACTTTTAGAATGTCAGGGAAAGAGTTAGTCAAAGAAAGAGTTAGCAAAGAAAGAGTTCGTCAGGGAAAGAGTTAGTCAAAGAAAGAGTTAGTGAGGGAAAGAGTTAGTCAAAGAAAGAGTTAGCGAGGGAAAGAATTATTCAAAGAAAGAGTTAGCAAAGAAACAGTTAGTCACAGAAAGAGTTAGCAAAGAAAGAGTTCGTCAGGGAAAGAATTAGTCAAAGAAAGAGTTAGTCAAAGAAACGGTTAGTCAGGGAAAGAGTTAGTCAAAGAAAGAGTTAGTGAGGGAAAGAGTTAGTCAAAGAAAGAGTTAGTGAGGGAAAGAGTCAGTCAAAGAAAGAGTTAGTGAGGGAAAGAGTTAGTCAAAGAAAGAGTTAGTGAGG